AGAGAGAGAGAGAGAGAAGAGAGAGAAGAGGAGAGAGAGAGAGAGAAAAGAAGCTGCTGCAGTGCAGGTAAGAAAAGACAGGAGAGAGAAGAGAGAGAGAGCAGAGAGAGAGAGAGAGAGAGAGAAGAGAGAGAAGAGGAGAGAGAGAGAGAGAGAAAAGAAGCTGCTGCAATGCAGGTAAGAAAAGACAGCCAGGAGAGAGAAGAGAGAGAGCAGAGAGAGAGAGAGAAGAGAGAGAGAGCAGAGAGAGAGAGAGAAGAGAGAGAGAGCAGAGAGAGAGAGAGAAGAGAGAGAGAGCAGAGAGAGAGAGAGAAGAGAGAGAGAGCAGAGAGAGAGAGAGAAGAGAGAGAGAGCAGAGAGAGAGAGAGAAGAGAGAGAGAGCAGAGAGAGAGAGAGAAGAGAGAGAGAGCAGAGAGAGAGAGAGAAGAGAGAGAGAGCAGAGAGAGAGAGAGAAGAGAGAGAGAGCAGAGAGAGAGAAAAGAGAGAGAGAAGAGAGACAGCAGAGAGAGAGAAAAGAGAGACAGCAGAGAGAGAGAGAGAAAAGAGAGACAGCAGAGAGAGAGAGAGAGAAAAGAGAGAGAGCAGAGAGAGAGAAGAGAGAGCAGAGAGAGCAGAGAGAGAGAAGAGAGAGCAGAGAGAGAGAAGAGAGACAGCATCAGCACCCTGCGTTCAGGGGCGTGGCGGTGCATTGAAGTCAATGGCACCGCAGCCACGCCCCCTACCCTTACGCAGTGTGATCGCTCGCACCCTGAACGCAGGCACATTAGTGCCTACATTCCAGCCCAGTGCGATCTGCAAAAATTGTGCGGGCGATCACACTGCGAGCGGACGTGGCTGCAGTGCCATTGAATTCAATGCACCGTCACGCCCCCTCCCGCCGGCGTTTTTTCGTTGGTAGATCTCATTGAGCTCATCATTTGAAAAGTAGATCTCCAGATGAAACATTGTGGGCGCCGCGGGCGGAGGGGATTCTTTTCAGTCAGAGCGGTCAGAGTCCGGAACTCGCTGCCACGCGCAGTGGTATCAGCTGAGAGTATTGAACCATTCAAAGAGCATTGAGATGCCTTCCCCAGAGACCGCAACATACCGGGGGACAGGTACTCCTAAATACAAGGTCACACGGGGACTCGTACACACATAGACACGCACTACACACACACACACACGCGTGCGCACACACTCACACACATAGACATGCACTACACTACACACACATACACTACACACACACACACATGCACAGCACTACACACACACTACACACATAGACAGGCACTACGCACACACACATACACTACACACAGACATGCACTACACACACACACATACACTACACACACACACACATGCACAGCACTACACACACACTACACACATAGACAGGCACTACGCACACACACATACACTACACACAGACATGCACTACACACACACACATACACTACACACACACACATGCACAGCACTACACACACACATGCACTACACACACACACATGCACTACACACACACAGACATGCACTACACACACACACACACATACACTACACACACTACACACACACACATGCACTACACACACACACATGCACTACACACACACACATACACTACACACGCACACACACTACACACACACACATGCACTACACACACACACACACACTACACGCACACACAAAGGTTGAACTCGATGGACCTGTGTCTTCATTCAACCTCCGATACTATGTAGCTATGTTCCTGGAATACGATCGCACATATAAACTGACCCGCACCGCGCTGGCGGCGAGTTCTAAGAATAACCGCCCACAAGTGCGCATTCCACGGGCCGCCAGTGTTTACTCGCTGATATTTTATGACTGTAAGCGGACCTCGCCATGAGTAAATTATCTCCGCCGTTAACGACTCAACGCATCAAATTATCCAAACTTCGGGTTTCTCATGAAGCCGCGGACCCGCCGCTGGTATGTCGGCTTCCTCCCCCATCCCGCGTGTTGCGTCATTTCCACTCTAATCGCATCCGAACACGCCGCGCGAAGGAGAGCGCGCGAACGGGTTGTGTGCCGCCGGTTTTCATTTCCAATCTTCCTGAGTTGTGACTTGCGGTTGCGGAGTTTTCACTATCTTGCTGCGCGGTTATCAGCCGGCCAGAGTGATATCACCCCCATCCCCCGATATTAAGGGGATCTTAAATCCACGTTATCCACCGCGCTTCATGTTACACTCATGAAGTATGATTGCATCCACCGTCACCGAAATCCGCCCATCCTGTGCTCTGCGGCTCCATCAATGCTGTGCGAATGGCACTCGCCCAGCTATACGCCGGGCGAACGCTTCATACATCAGCCCATTAAAGTCCATCTAAGCTACTAAGACCATTCTGCCTAAGGGTGACAATGCTGCCCCACAGCTTCAGTGCAGAAAGACCAGCGTTGTCACCCTATTATAGAAAATCCGCCCATTCTATGCTCCGCGGCTCCATCTAGCGGAAGCAATGCTGTGCGAATGCCACTTGTCCAGCTATACGCCGGGCGAACTCTTCATAGATCAGCCCCTTAAAGTCCATCTAAGCTACTAAGGCTATACTGTCTAAAGGGTGACAACGCTGCCATGCAGCTTCACTGCAGAAAGACCAACGTTGTCACCCTATTGTAAAAATCCACCCATTCTATGCTCCGCGGCTCCATCCAGTGGAAGTAATGCTGTGCGAAAGGCATTTGCCCAGCTATATGCCGGGCGAACGCTTCATAGATCAGACCCTTAAAGTCCATCTAAGCTACTAAGGCTATACTGTCTAAAGGGTGACAACGCTGCCCCACAGCTTCAGTGCAGAAAGACCAGCGTTGTCACCCTATTTTAAAAATAGGGTACAACATAACCATAATCCGCCCATTCTATGCTCCTCGGGTCCATCCAGCAGAAGCAATGCTGTGCGAATGCCACTTGCCCAGCTATACGCCGGGCGAACCCTTCATAGGTCAGCCCCTTAAAGTCCATCTAAGCTACTAAGGCTATACTGTCTAAAGCAGGGGTAGCCAAACTCCGGCCCTCCAGCTGTGGGGGGAACTACAAATCCCATGAGGCATTGCAAGATTCTCACAGCCGCGACTCCCGGAGAGAGAGATGCATCATGGGATTTGTAGTTTCACCCACAGCTGGAGGGCCGGAGTTTGGCTACCCCTGCTCTAAAGGATGACAACGCTGCCCCACACCTTCACTGCAGAAAGACCAGCGTTGTCACCCTATTACAAAAAAGTGGAAAAAGAACAGATCTATCGGCAGGTTCAACACACCACGAGAAACACACCGTGCTGCACCACCGCTGATGTCGCCATAAAAACATTGTTCCGATCCGACAGCCAACAAAAGCTTGACGGCAGCCCACCTCTAATGTGTTTCACCCCGACGGCCTTAATCATACAGACCTGAGCGGTCTAAGGAGGGATCCTTATATACAAAATATCGTCACCATCACAGGTGGAGATTTAAAGGAGAAGTATGGGGCTAAGGCTTTTCCCCCATAGTTCTCCTTAGGGTAACGGGAGGACACAAACTAGCGTCCTCCCGTCACCCTAAGCTCAGTATATAGGGAGCTACAGCTCCCTATATACTGAGACGCCGCAGCCGGGACGGATCCCAACTATCCGAGTATCTACAATTAAGTCCGTCAGGGTGAAACGCGTCACCTGTGGGGGGCAGTCTTTGGGCGGGGACAAAATGATGCCGGCTGCTGGTTCGGAATATGATGACGTTGTTATGGTGACCTCAGTGGGCTTTCTTCCTGGTACGGTATAGGGAGTGACTGCTGTGATAATGTTAGGGACGGATGGCATCGTAGGTGCCATTTTGCCCATAGGTTCACTTTACGAATGTTCGGCGGTTGGAGAAAATTTGGGAGGGCGTAGACGCATCTATTGAGGTTTTTTTTTTCCTACCTTGTCCTTTGATTCCAAATGGGGGCACAAATTCCCTGATCTTCCCCCACTTCCTGAAGGAATCATCGAGGAACATTGGAGCTGGTCTTGAGAACCTACAAAAAACAAAAAGAAACGCGTCATTCGGTGAGTTGATTCTGCGCTCAGCATCACAATATATCAGTGTTGTAACAATCACCATAGCGACCCAGGCAGCCGCTAGGGGGCCCGGGGCACAGTGCTGCTGAGTCGGTGACAACCAGCAGCTTCGGAAGAGGTGGCTGGGCCCGTCGCTGGCAGCGATGTAGCAGGCGGCGGGGCCCAGTGACGGAGGAGGCGGGGCCCACAAGCGATCGCGGAGGAGAAGGAGGCGGACAGCGGATCGGGGCTGGCAGGTAAGAGGGCTTGATCGCCCACCTGAGACCCTGCAGAGCCCACCATAGAGGGTCTGTGGTGGGCTCTGCAGGGTCACTCTCAGGTGGGCTTAACTAGAAATCAGAGGGCCCCATACAAAAGTTTTATGACCACGCCCCCCCCCCCTTCCCGGCCAGACAGGCACAGCCGAGCCCTGGACCTCCCTTCACACCAGGGGCGTCCCGAGGCTGGGTGACACCCGGAGCGGTAACCGAGTGTCACCCTGCCGAGACGTCGCACGTGCGGTATTCTGATCCCTGCCGGCGGCCATCTTGGTGATGGACGCCGGCAGAGAGAGGAGGGGAAAGTCACCTGGTGGGACAAGTTATGCCGCCGGATCCCTTCCTTTCTCCTGATACTGTCGGGCGTTTGGTCCATGACCGAGCGCCCGACTTTTCAGAGGGGGGTGACACCAAAATGACTGTGAGTGCTTGTGTGGGCAATTAAGACCCACACAAGCACAGGGAGAACATACAAGCTCCATGCAGATAGTGTCCTGGTTGGGATTTGAACAGGGGACCCCCAGTGCTGCAGGGCAGAAGTGCTAAGCACTAAGCTCCTGCCCTCAAGGAGCTTACAATCTAAAGTCCTATACATACACACACATACTGTACTAGGGCCAATGAACCTCCCAGCATGTCTTTGGAGTGTGGGAGGAAACCGGGGGTACCTGGAAGAAACCCACACAAGCAGGGGCGTAACTACAGATCATCTGGCCCCATAGCAAAATTTGAATAGGGCCCCCCCATGGCAAACCTAATCTAAGTCAAGGACAGGTAGCAGAAGAGCTGTCCGGATAGTCTCTTCCTGTACATCTGATATCAACTGTTGTTGATTGGAAGTGCCATAAGGGGTACAGGGTCAACAGCAACTTCAGCAATCCTTCATGGGGCCTCCTTCCACCCCCCGGGCCCCATAGCAGCCGCAGGGGCTGCTATGGCTATTGTTACGCCCCTGCACACAAGCACAGGAAGAACATGCAAACTCCATGCCCAGTCCCTGCCCTCCAGGAGCTTACAATCTAAGGTCCCTATCTCACATGAGGGCCCAATTAGACAGTGGCCAATGAACCCTACTAGGATGTCTTTGGTGTGGGGGATGGGAACCCATGTAAGCCCAGGTAGTACATGCAGATAAAGTAATGTCCTGGTTGGGATTGCAATGGAGGACCCCAGTAGTGCTAACCTGCAATATTTAGTATGTTATGATGCCTCTGCGGGGGTGTCTTGTTTTTGATGTTGCTCTTCTATAAATAACGAGCAGTTTTCATGCTGTATTGCCATAATGAAGTCATGTTCGTTACTTGCACATCTGGGCTCCATAGGTGGTAAAGGACTTTTACATAGAGATGGTGAGGAGTCCTAAGTGACCCCTTTTATTGAGGATTTCCCCC